GTTTGTTTTCGTCTTCGTAGTGGTGTTTAGGGATGGACCGGGATTCGGATTCGATTCGAATCCTGGCATTTTTTGGACTCGGATTCGATTTCGAGTCCACGTCATTTTTACCGAGTCCAAAATCAATTCTGTTTTTACTAATTTACGCCTATGTTTGTACTTTTGCCTCCACTACATACCTTAACTAGTTAAAATTTTAGATTCGTAGGTTAGATTTGTAACAATATCCTTCGTGTGCATTATAAACACTCCTAATAAAACGACGACAGATATCCAGATAAACAGGGGTCTCAAACTCGCGGCCCGCGGGTCAATTGCGGCCCACAAGACGATGAATTGCGGCCCCCCTCCTTGGTATGAAAGTTTAATGCTAGTGCGGCCCGTAAGTCACTCAGCTCAGTTAGAATGATTGATGCATTTAATATATGATCAGGACAAGTAGAGCAAAATAAAATATTTTATAATCTATCCCCCGAAGCATATGCGGTACGGTAACCTACTAGTACCGTACCTGTGGGCATGATATTCGATGGACCTTTGACCCCGAAGAAAATTTTCTCATACTTTACCATTGCAAATTCTTGATGCTTATTTTAGAGGTGGCTTCGCGAGTTGAATCCTATAAACTGGAGTATATGTTTCACGTCATCAGTTTGATTCAAAACATTCAACGACCTGTTTTTCAACAGTACCGATAGAGGAGTTTAGCCTAGTCTATCACAGCTATTTCTAGACTAATTTTTGATTACTGCAATTAGGCTACGACGCCCAAGCAATCCGAATGATCATTGAGTTCTTTGATTCATACTTGAATTTCTGAAACACAACCCAAAACTAACAAATATCATGCAAAAACGAGGTAATGTTTACGAACATGCCTGGAAATCTTTCTGAGTGACAAGTGTTCGAGCGTTTGCGAAAAAGTCTATTGTTACGTCACTTTTTGCGACTTGCTGATTAGCCAATGTTACGGAATAAACAAGGAAGTAGATGCTCGGGCAAAGGTTCATCGCGGAATTACTTACATTTACGTTTCTGACATGTTTTGCGTATAGAAAAATAGAGAAAAAGATTTAACTTTTTAAGTTTAATGCTTTTATTGTGAAAAACCGGATGCGGCCGGACTCACTAAGCCTCTATCTCGGCGGCCCCCAGGTAAATTGAGTTTGAGACCCCTGAGATAATATAACGCAAGTTAAAAACTATTGATCGCTTATAACAATGATGTTGCGCCAGTTGCCTGTACATGTGGTACACAAGAAAATATGTGTTATTGCAATGTTTTTGATTCGCGTAAAAATGAGACATGCTCTCGATCAACCCAATGTGGAATCTCATCAATACTTCTTTTAAATCGAGTTTATTGCGTGCAATCCTTTCGCTAAAAAGGCAATGAAAAGCATGGAGAATTTTAGAACGTTTACATAAACTACTAAATTGCAAGCAGAGGTACCACATTGTATTGACGACAAGTGACATTTCTCTACCATATGCGCACATGACATAGTAAATTTACGGCTAGAAATATCTGGACTTATGGGAAAGCATTGTAGTCGAAAGCTTTTTATTTTTCATATCGACATGTAAGAATTTCTGAATAGCCGCCCAGAATTGACGCAAGGTGGGCTGGAAATCCAGTTCACAGCCAAGGCGCACGTTGGCCCACGTTTACGTTTGTAATATGGCCGCCAAAAAAGAGAAAAAATATATATTATAAAAATATTCAACAGCTATCTGCAGAACCATTAGACAAAAAATATGAGCTACGAGGTATGTTTGTGAGCGCGCGATACTGTAGCATGGTCAAAAACACGTTTTTCTGCTTTTCGATTATGACGTCACGGACCCGGCAGATTCGATTCGAGTCCTTGACCTACTACTCGGATTCGTCGAATCTATGTAATGCCGGACTCGTCCCATCCCTAGTGGTGGTCACGCTGTGCCAACTCTAAAACAGTGTCCACTTGGATCACAGTGTGCCACAGATGTTGATACTAAAAATTAACTGGTGGACATGGTCTTTATCCTACTATGCTCTGGCAGGACGGCACCTTCCGGAACGAATATTACAGCCTGTGTTCTCCAAATACCCATAAACAACGGTCTACTTGACTGAATACAATCAAATGTATTATAACTTGGAAAACGTTTAACGGTCGTTCAAGGATTGCAAAATCAGGTCGAACAAAATAACTCAAACAGTTGGGGAGGTACGAAAAAGCCGGTAAATAATTTTAGTGTCACTCGGGTATAAACAAATACAGTACCAATAGATTTCTAATCAATAAGAAAACATAATTGTTACACCTAAAGGAACACGAATCAATTACAAATATACAAGTCCATGTTGGGAGAGCCAGAACTAACTGAGAACAGCAGACAGGGCAATTAGCCTAACGCAAGTGAGAACACGTGGCGCTAACCCAAAGTCAAAGGTGATAGTCTCTTGCAACAACTAGTGGACATAAAAATTGTTTGCCGTGGTCTCATGATCATATCTCGGATTTGTTGTTCAGACTGCCTGTACTGCAAAAGATTTGATACAACTTCGTTTTGTATTTCGTGTCCATATATTTGAGCATTGCCTTCTTGTTGTTAACATAGAGTTAAAGCCTAAACTTTTTCAAGCAAAAGATTTATGAAATGACATTATAATTTCTCTGTTCAAATTCATCGCGATTACTTTTCGATATATTCACATTGTATAACATTAATTACATATAATAGATACTGTATAATATTGTGTAATTTTGAGAAGTATTGCCTAAAACTTATAACAAATAAATTTGATTGGCTGATATTTCGACATTGGCATTTTAGTAAGCAATTGTTTCTGGCATGCTAAATTTGCGACATTCGGATAGAAACAAGAAAACTGCGCTCCAGCCACCACCGATTGTAACAAGCTTGTTGTGCACTCGTAGAATGTCTTCTGCCGTGGGATGTGGATTACGACTGTGAACCCATATGTATCTTTGACCTGAAAAGAATTGAAAATCATTTTTCATGTACCTTGTTAAGACAAGAAATCGGTGTTAATAAAATCTCTTGTTCAGGCAGACTACCGCTCTCCGCCAGTGACCACGGAAATAAATCAGGTTTCCTTCTTCGAGCTCAATTCCAAAGAGATTTTGATTTTGCCATTAAGGTAAGTGATTTTCAACTACTACATTAAAAAGAGTGCAATACTACAATGAGCCAAGATTGATGTAACAGCTGAAACTTTCAAGAAGTCGTTCAGACCTTATTTTCAATCCAACGAATTATAATTCGTTTAATAATTATCAAACGCGATTGTAAACGTTTATTCGTTTCCGTAATTCTGGGTGTTATTTGTAAGTTTTTAGCTATGTTATAAAAATGTTAGTATAAATTAAAGCAGGGAAGAGTTAAGCTGAAATCAATACCGACCTTCTCCGCCACACTGCAAGCACATGAAATAATGCTCATAATCTGTGAAGCAACTCATCGAATGCTCATAAAAGTACTGAATTTCTGCAATTCAAGAAAATGTTTGTATAATTTTTGATAAACTCTGACACTATCTTTCTCTATGTATCATGTTCAGCACAGACGTATAGTATAAAGATTGTTGCTTAAGAAAACGTTTATTAAGGGTACACCATTGATGCTTTTTCAGACTTTGGCACTCACTTGTTTCGCGATAATTAATATCAACACAGGAAGGTTCAATATTTACAGATTTAGGATTGTAGGTATCTTTCCAAGCCGGTCAGAAAAAGATATTGAAGACCTAAACAACTTCCAGTGGAAGATATATGATGATTCATGGCACTTAAAAGCCGGAAAATAAATTTTTATTGCTTTTTATATATATTTTGAGTTATATTATTAGGTATGATTGTTTTTTCATATTTATTGCTACATAATTGTTTTGAATAGAATATTTCCTAACAATGCAAATAAAAGTTATTATATTAAAATTGAAGTTATCAAAGTTTACCTTTTAGGACATGCGAACCTGCCCCGTTATGTTTTGCCTCATTCAACCACAAAAATTCTGAAAAAAATAACAAATTACATATTATTGAAGTCTATACTTTATAACAAAAATTTAATAGTAAAAGATTTTTTTCCAACCAAAATTCGTGTCGTATCTTGTGATTGAAGTTCCATTGTGATACCAATGAAATGGTATGACTCCGTTGAGTGACATTGTACCGCTGCATAGAAAAAAAGAAACATATCAGACCCACTCGTTAAATTGAAGAGGCCAGCACACCATATATCCGGGTGAGTAATTCCCTAAGTGTAGAGAATTCATTAACCATCATTTGGTACGACAGTTTTACGCCTGTTTCAACTTTTATAAGCTCCTAAATTCAGAGAATATCAGTCATGTTTCTACTGAAAATAGCGATAGAGTTATAGTCCTGGTAGTTTCGGAAAACTTTATCGCAGTAACCGGGTACATGACCAAAATAAAACTTAAGGAGCTACCAACGCCAGACATTCTCTATTTGGCTCCTGTAATACCGAAGACCAACGGAAAAGTTCTAAATGAAACCGACTAATCTAACTATTTGCCATTAAATTATCCAAATATATTTTAAAATTCTTCTTTACTTTTCTGCTGATGAAATATCTTGAAATTCTGCAAAAGCTCCGTCGGAAGTATCTTTAAAATATTTGAATGCATAACATGGGACGTGGTGTTCAACAGGATCATTGGTGTTCATAATATGATACCAGGAATCAGGAAGCTGAAATATTTTGAGATATGCTCATTATAACAGAAACAGGGTTCTGAAGTTGGGCATATTATGTTGTATTTGAAAGTTTTGTGACCCGTAAACAAAATTTCGAATGAGAAAAAACTTTTTTCGCTTTGCATAATTCTCGCGTTCACTCACCTCCAGACAAAAATTATCTACCATGTGTCAATTTTCTTGTTAGAAATAGCTATCCACATATATTTACGCAATTATTCGCTAAGCAATTCTGCCTATCAATTAATGCCTATCTTGGCGAATGCTTACCATATTGTAATTGACTTCATCGAACACAGGCAATGTGCATTTTTCATTCTCATACCGATATCTTGGCGTTCCAACTACCGGATTGGACAACAAGCAAACGATCAAAATGGAGACGCAGCTTGAAAAAAGCATTGTTACCTCTTCAACTGCCGTTACTGAATTAACAACATTTGCACAACTGAGACAATAAATAACAGCAGAGTGGTATCAACAGCATTCATTTGTAAATTGTTCGTGCTGAACTTTCGTGTTTTCACCATCCTGGGCGCGTCAAGCACGATTCAATACGGGAAGCTGAAATGTCGTGCTTTGGAGTTTACTCTATCATATCGGAGAATATTATTGTACTCAAAATGTGGGTTCGATGGATTAGATATAACATAACACACGCAAGAGCCATTTACCGACTGATCCACCACTCCATGAAATCAAGAATGCCGGTAAAGAGTAATTCGATGATGCGTTTTCAGCACATGTTACATTCTCCGAAACGTGTCCTACCTAGATCAGCCTTTAAAATTCGACAAGTCAGTTAATTCCCGTACTGGATACGCGAAAAGATTGAGTTCGTCTGGGCATGTTTCTTCCTATAGCGTGCGAGACAACAGCATTAAAATCTATATTAGTCTAAAGTTCATTATATTACATCTCTCAACCAATAGTAGTAATCTAACGCAAGTGTTCACCATTGCCGATGATAACGGTTGATATTGTAAATGTTTTTACACTCATTTTATTAAGAATTTTTTATTGAGTAGTTTAAAAACTTGCAGCGTAAGCAAGCTTAGTGACATCGTCAAATATCAACCAAGTCCGTCTCAGTTGGTATTTCGGGGCCTAACTAAAAAAACTGGATTACGCAGCGTTAAGTCGGCTCTGCGTTTCGTCACTACTGTCACATGGCCGACGCTTGTAAACAGAGGAGTGTTTTTACTAAGATAAAGACACAAAGCGTTAGAAAAAGGGTTTGAATTTCGGGATCCCAACCCCAGTTGGAATATCTAAAAAAAAACTCAAAAACGTTACTCCATTAGATACAAATATACGCTAAAATTGTTCTGTGAGCCGCACGGAATGTATCAGCATGACAGAGTTTGGACCCCCCTGGTCTACCTTATCAAGAAACTCCCGACTTTGCTGACCAATATATCGTTGAAATGCGATCGTGGAACCGCCACATAGTGTAAATAGTTCATTGGTCCAATTGTTGAAGAGAATAGAAATTATTTCAAAATAAAAATGCAGCAACAAGGTGAATACTAGAAAGAAAAAACAACAACAATTTAAGGAAACGACTCATAGGCCCATTTCGTGTGCAATAAATAAGTTTCAGTGTTTATTTTTAGTAAAGAAGGCTAATATGATACATGAAGACAAAAAATAAGCGAACATTTTGAAGTTTGAGTCGCCTGGTGAACTCGTAATATTTTAATAAATACCGATAAACTATATAAAATTCTGCTCCAAAATTTCTGTGGTGCCCCTCTTTGCTTGGTGCCCTAAGCACGTGCTTATATTGTTTAATGGTTAATCCGGCGCTGTATCCTGGGATGAGCAGAAGAAAAAGTGTGATTTGGTGATAGGTAGCAACAATGGAAATAAATTGAACAGCGTGCTACTCAAACAAAAACTAGTGTCCCTACTCCCTACTATTTGTGCATTGAAGTTCTATTGTATTGTACTATCTATAACCTAAATTGCTGTGCTTTTGTCTAATTACGCATGATAATGAAATTAGAATGGTGTGCTAGTTATTAATTCAGTCCATTGTTCTATATGGAATCCGGGTGAAGTATCCTGTGGAGTTATTGAAATTGTCAGCTGGTCTATGGTGACTGAAGAGGAGGACAGCTTCCTGATGGTTCATTCATTCCAAATAATCAACAGCCCTCTCCTTTGTTGAATTCACCTTTAAAAAATAATCTCCAAACAGTAACATGTTCAAAGCAGAGAAAATTGCTAATATGATGATAATATATATTGTTTAAGTTTGGAACAAAATTCTGAGTTCGATTTTGAATTTTTGATGTCATCGGGTAGGGAATTCCAAGCTTTTGGTCCACATACTGCGATTGATTCTTGTGAAATACTTTTACTGACAAATGGAATAAAAAATTATCTTTATTTCTGCTGTTTGAATTTGTGTTTGCTTGGAACAGGCTGGGCGGAAGCTCTCCAATGTGACAAGAGAACATCATAGTACATAGTTCGAATTTAGCTAAATCCACAACTCGTAGTAGCCTATGCTCTTTAAATAAGTCATCAATTTTTTTGCAATTACCTCTATGAAAAACTCTTCTAATAAAGCGATTGCAAACACTTTGAATTTTTTTGAGAATGGACGATTGGCGATGAACATAAGGCACAATGAGGCACAATAACGAATATGGCTTTCTATCAGAGAGTGGTATAGAGATATAAAAAAGATGTATTTAGGTTGTTGGCTATTTTCGTAATGTCACTAAGAGACGACCTTGTTTTCGATAGAACCATATTGGTGTGTTGTTTCCAAGACAATTTATCATCGATCATTACACCCAGAAAGCGAGTCTGATTAACTCTTTCTATATTTATTCCATTTAATTCCAAATTTTGTTGCAGTGTTGGACACTTTTGCTTCGGCGTGCTAAATACCATATATTTATTTTTATCGACATTAATAGTAAGTTTGTTCGCAGACAACCAAGCTTGAATATTTTCCAAGTCAGTATTTGCTTTGGTCAAAAGTTCAGGCAAGTTTTTGTCTCGAAGATATGATATGGCGTTGAGTCATCAGCAAAAAGTATGATATCAGAGTGAAGAAGAGAATTCGGAAAGTCGTTAATAATGATTGAAAAACATAATGGAGCCAAAATAGAACCTTGTAAAGTGCCTACAGTCAAATTACAGTATGTGCTAGATGCTACATCATTGTATATAACTACTTGTTTCCTTCCTGATAAGTAGCTTTCAAACCAATTATAACTCTGACCTCTAACGCCAATATGGTGCAATTTGGCTAGTAATATGCCATGGTCAATACTATCAAATGCCTTGGAAAGGTCCAAGAACATACTGAGAGTATACTCATTCTTATCAAATCCTTCTAGAATTTTACTGACAAGCAGGGATGTTGCATGAGATGTTGAATGATTTTGACGAAAGCCAAATTGTTGTGAATAAAAGAAATTTTTTTGGTCTAGGAAATGGTTGAGTTGTTTGTACATAATTTTTTCTAGAAATTTTGAAAAGCGGGAAGTAAGCTGATCGTTCGGTAGTTTTTTACATCTTTTGCATTTCCTTTTTTGAACAATGACATAACTTTGGATAATTTGAACTGGTCTATGTATTTACCAGATTGTAATGAGCAGTTAAAGATATGTGCGAGAGCACAAATACAATTCCAGGGCATCATTTGTATAACTTTAAAGGGAATTCCATCTATTCCACAACTGGTTTTGGGTCGAAAAGATTTCAGAATATTTTGGACTTCGAAAGCTGTTGTGTATTCTTAATGGAATACAAACCAGGACTGGCAGGTGGCCTGAAATAGGATTCACTAATATTGCACTGCGGGATTTACAATCAAAGATGTTTGTCCAAATATGGTCAATGATTTTAGAGCTGCTTTGAGTGATTCGAGTTGGCTTTGACAGGGTAAAATGAAGCCGAATTCATCAGCTCACAAAATTGTAAAGGGACTGAAGCCTATGGACAGGGAGGATATTCACTTGGGTATTAGGGACAATCCCCGAACTCGTAATAGAACTAAAATATGGAAAATCGGAATAAAATTATCGCCTAACCCTACCCTGGTACACAGTATACACTACGGGAGTAACGAAATGACACTAATTACGTTACAGCAATCTATTAACAGAAAGGAAGTTTGTGAGTTTTTGAGAAAGGTGGTGGGACAAAATGGACAATGGTGCTCCTGAAGTATGCGTACCAAGATGGCGGACACAGGAACGTAGTGTGTCTACCAGGTTAGGGTTAGGCCATAATTTTATTCCAATTTTCGTCATTTTAGTTCTATTGCGGGTTCGGGGACTAGCCAAGTGACTCCCGTAGTATATGTACCTGAAATTATGGCCTAACATGGTACACATACTCCGTTCCGGTGTCCGCCATTTTGGTACGCATACTTCAGGAGTACCAATATTTTTGCAAAATTATTTGACTAATAAGAAATTGTTTGTTATTGCGAATTTGATTTTAAAATATCCTAATTATGTTCAAGTCCATAGATTGTATTGGAATTGCATTTAATATCCATATAAAAATCTAAAAATATATATTGTTGCAGATATTGTAACATAACATTTTGATTGAATACAGAAGTTTTGGAAATGCCGTTTTAACCGGAGTTTTAGCGATCACAATGAATAACACTTCCTAAAGGTTGATGATCAAGAAAAACTCACTTGTATTGAATTGTATTGAGATATAATGATTTCGATCGACGTAAATGTACAAAAAACATATGACTTTTGTTCCTGCAATCATATATTTCGGCATTGCTTTAATATCTCATTTCATTTCAAATACGTTTGGTTTGTGTCAGCAGCAAATAAATAAGCCACGAATTTCAGATAAAGTTTTACATTCGAAGGTTTACTGATATAACCCCGAAATATATGGATACAGCCATTTGGCTCAAGTATATATAATCGCATTCTTGTTACTTGGTTGGATTACTTCCCAAACAATCCAATGCTAATCATGCAGTTTCTTATGTTCAACACAACAACCAACACGGACGGACAGACTCTATGATTTAACTGTAATTCATAAAGAGATATGCGTTTTCGCTAAACATATTTATATAATTTAAATATATTACATTCTATTTATAGCAATGGCATATGCTTCTGCAATGTCAGAACAGAATGTGAGACACTGACCTGCAATATGCCTTCGATTTAAAGTGCCTATTAACCCTGTGGCATTCAACAGCGGCATTACTTTTTGTGAACATTTAGATATAGTTGAAGTCTAGTCAGAATTATGGATAAATACTTTGGTCTAAGTGTCGTATGAAAATATGCGGAAGTTCAAAAATTTGACATCAGTCCACAGAGGGTTAATATATCGCCTGCACGTTTTATGTGATCAATAATCGTACCACTATGGCAAATGTCCAGCTGACCGCTCTTTTTATGTTGTGAACATTTGTGGATTTGCTATGCAAGCGCCACGCCTTCATAATGTTATGGAATTTTCTATTCATGAAGATTAGTTTGATCTGAATTCATACTATTTGGAATATTAGGCTATAGTTTGAGCACGACGAATTGAGAAGAACGATGGTATTAGAGTCTTCGAGCGACCGTAAAATGGTTTATATATAGTTTCGAAGTATATTGTTTTGAATAGATAGTATTGTTTACTATACAACATCAGTGTTGTTGTATCCAATCCCACGCACTACTTCATAAAAAAAAGAAAAATTTAGGCATATGCTGCACTCAATTGGAAAGATAGCGGTATTTCCATATATCTAGAAGCATACCACGCCTAGGTAACTGCTGCTAGCAAAACGCCGTGTTCGTAAAAAGTGCGAAATAAGCCATACAACTAATCGTAAGTACGTGTTAGTTTTGTTACCACGACCATACATCTATAAACAATATTGACGGAAATTATTTAAGTTTCTAGCGTTAAGGTCGCAACCATTATGTACAACGCAATATATTTTTGAGCCCTTAGGAGAATATTCCGCAGGATATTTAGCCATTTACTGGCGTTTTTGAAAATATTTAACTCTCGAAAATTCAACTCTATGTATGGACAAATCTTGTATTTTATGTTTGCATTATCGTAATGAAATTGACTGGAAAGGGTTGTCAAGGATTGAAGGAGGCCTTCAAAACAACGATCAGCCTACACTGCTTACCTTCAAAGCCGTTTTAAATCCCACGAGAGTGCTAACAGGATTTGTTTTGTAAATGTAATATCTTTTCAGTGCAGTGATAAACTCAATTTTAAAGCTTTTCTCACTGAAATATTGTAATGTTACTGCGTAGGCAGGCGTTTCTAGCACGTAGTAAAGAGAGTACCAAAGACTGACTATTACTGTTCAAGTATCATACTTACATATTTTAGACAATTTATGTTTCGAACGATAAAACTTACTCATAACATAGTCTCGACGATGACTCATTTACTTTTAAAAATAAGCAACGATATAAAGCTTTTTCCGTGTAAAAATATTACACGTGGGTGGATGTATCGCTGGCGAAGAGGCGATTATAATCATATTGGATATGAATTCATACTTTAAGCAAACAAAATTGAAATGTTTTATTTTTTATTTTTACAAAATTGCTAGAAATTTTACAAACATTTTTGCAGTTGAGGGACCAAATAATGTTAAAACTATTCTCATTTCGCGCTGAGCAACCAGCCCACACACAAAAAAAAATTAAGTTTGTATTGGGAATATGACGGTCAATCAGCAGATGGCAGTCGATTGTTTCCGATACCTTGTTCAGTAAACTTTCGATGCTGTCAAAGTTGAAGAAAAATATTATTTTGCAGTTATCCAAACGGTAGTGGAACAGTCTACTAGGTATATATCAACGTTTAGAACTGTATTTCAAATATCTAATCTTATATAATGGACAGTCAGGACAGAAAACTTATTCAATACAGGGGAAATTTATTAAAGACTGCAGTTTTCAGTTTATACAGGCATGCCAAGTGAGGCATAAGTTTGGCGATATAATAACCTAGTGATTTGATATGGTTTGTTATGAAAAATGCTTTGTTAGCTCTTTGCGAGAATGGTGTTACTTCGTATTGGGAATGTGACGGTCAGTGAGCAGATGCCAGTCGATTGTTTCCGATAGCTTGTTAAAAAACTATCGATATTGTCAAAGTTGTGCAAAAAATTATAATTTTGCAGTTATTCAAACGGTAGTGAAAATAACTCATAAACTGGATTGGTTTTGGTCGAAATTTCGATTCAAAAACGACATGAAACATCTCATCGATAAGTTACATATCGTGATCACTCCATCGATGATCGATTAGACGTGTCAAATTCGGCATTCAGTTTCCATTTTGCAATTCTAACGTAGAAGATAATACATCACGACTCCCGAAGTATGCATCATGACACGCCCAAAATCACGCCATACCCGATTTAGAAACACGAATACAGGCTGTAGTGAAATATTGATTTGGACAGCATGTTAATCAGTTGTAAGTGATACAAAGCGTTTCCAAGCATATTTCAGTCTTCTTGATGTGTTTTACAGACTGGATATGCTTGGCATAGTTTTGTGCCATCGTATATGACCTTTTGTTTCACGGCGTCACGCCACGACTGGACGCAACATGCCGTTTTTTGACATAACGTCGCAAAATTTACTACGGATGTAATCAATATCGAAATTAATAATATTTTCATTTCTTCTGCGGGAGTATTGATCAGTAGTGCTCAAATAAATCATTTTGATACAGAAGGATGACGACATTTTTGAAGAATAGAAATTTAATTGAACAAATGCAGTATTTTGAAGATGCCGAATAGGGAAGTTTCCGTCCCTTCCAAAAACAGTAGATCTCTAAATATCAGTGACTTTTTGGCTTTTTACGGAATAATTGTTTTTGCAAGGTCAATTTAGGAGATAAAGTACGCATAGAATAATGAGAAAACGAAATTGTAATAAAAATATCAGCCATCAGCAACAAACAAAAAATATTGTAATAGAAGTCAGCCCCCATATTTTGAATGCAGTGAGTGGCACCCCCGGTCTCAAACATAACAGGAGGTTTATAAAGTGTATTATTTATTACATTACAAAAAGTGTGCGATAACATATGCAGTTTTCGTAATAAGTAATTGAATTATCCATTTTTCTTTGGTAAACGTCTCTGCTATATGTCTCTGCCTTTTTCCAATTTCTTGAAATGCAGCAGATATTAAGTTTCCTGATTTGCCACTTTTGCAGATTTGTAGTTATAAAGTCCATATATATATATGAATATATAAATATAGTCATGTCAATGACAACAAAAAGTTTGAAGATGACTCAAATGTTAAATTCTGCTGTGTTGCTGCTTTTCTTGATATCACAGGGTAAGCAAAAATAAGGTTGTGTATTTACTCATTCTATATTTAATCTTTTTAAAATGATTTCCTTTTATTGTATGGCATCATTTAATTTGAATATTATCTGAGTTTCTTTTGGCCCATGTATAAGTAACTGGTTAATTATTTCTATACCCGACATGGACTGGTAATCGGACGAAAGTACGCGGTACGTCTTACCAATTTTTCACCTCCTCTGAATGAAAAGTTTACACTTGGCTGTATACCCACCTTGCTATGGTAAAAGGGGGGTATTTATGATCAATTTGTATCTTTATTATACTGTAAATTATCCTGAATATTTACTGTAAAATATCTCAAAATTTTAGTTAACGTTCAAATCCCAGTTATGTACAGTGATTTTTATAATGTCTTTCAACCGAATTTTACGTAAAATATAATGATTAAGCTAAAATTTATGATTTCACACATATTACATATTTAAGTTTCTATTTGTTGAATCGGTGTATAACTATGGCAAGAGAAACATCGCGTTTTTGTTTATCTCGTCATTTTTTTTTTTATAATTGCAGTGTTTAATGTTCTTGTGGATGGACTCTGCACCGGATATACCTCCCCAATTGTTTCAACCGCTACATCAGGGTATATACAATCGCCGAGATATCCTAAGAGTTATCGCGATTATGAAAGCTGCAAATGGTCATTGAATTATCCGTACGATCATCGACATTATATTGCATATTTTGATATTGTCGATTATCAGATGAGTTACAAAAGATTTGACAACAGTGGTAACAAGTGTACTGGATACATGAGCATTTTCAAAGGTATATATTGACATTACCTTTCACTTCTCCTCGTTGTTTAATTTCAGTTTTCTTTTTACTATTTTTCTTGAACCCTATGCTATTTCTTTACTTAAAATTGACCTATGTTTCGTCAACAGCTCAGACAGACTGCAAATCATCTAAGCCATTTTGCAACGTTTATTATGTTTCGGATCAATGTGAAAAAGTGGCAAATGAGAGATACTCAGATTGTAACAAGTTCAAGAGAAGAACACTCATCCCAACAGAGGTTGCTTTCAAATCAGAACCTTACTACTCGGACAGAACACCACAGAGAGGTTTCAAACTACGATATGAATTTGTCGATTGTTTGAAAGGTATGGTGAATTGCTAATTTGTCAAGGACTTTATATGAGGTATCTTCTTCGACTTATTGTGCTGCGTGATTTTTTTGTTTAAATCACAGAGGGTGCATCAAAGATTTATTGTCAGGGTCAAAGGTCGTTCTGCTTGAATGATGAAAATAAAAATTTCCCTGTTATCGACTGTTTTTACGGTGGAAGATTCTCAGTTGATCAGTAATACCCCCTTGATTACGCAGTGGCGTTTCCATTATCTACTTCCATTACCTACAATGGCATCCTTGGGATTTAGGGATACAGTTGCATTGGAGTAATCCAGACTAACACATGTTATAGAGTTTACACTTTCCCATCGTTTTAGCGTTGAAGACAACACCTGTACCAACAACATCAACAGAAGCAACAACTACACCTAAACCCACTACCACCACAGCGACTACAACCTCAACTACAACAGAGTCTGTAACGACCACCCCACTTACAAGTACAATACAGCAAACTGCTGAAGTGAAATCTACATCATCGAATATATTCACAACAAAATCTCCACCGAGGCCTTTAATGACAACATCTCCCAATGCGCCACCAAAAGTAATGACTTCACACACCCCTGCATTGAATCATACCTCAGGAGCGTCACATGTATACACCACTGCCAAAGCAGTTCAGAAAGAAGAAATAATTACTGCGAAGGTATTTGCAGCTAATGGCGTTCAGAAGCAAATCGCACCCAGGAGCACCACAACGACAAACAAACAGGAAAAGGACAATACGACACCAGAGCCTGGGTGTTCTGAAGGTGAGTTCAAACGTATCAATAGGTTGTTTAAACATCATAACGTGGAACAGTAACGTTAGAGTCCAGGGGTGGGCAAGGTTTTTGGACCATAGGGGCCAAACATTTTGCTCACCTAGACTGGTGTGACTTGAAATTAGATGTTATGAATAATATTTACAGTGTTACAAAAGCAAAAGTGGAAAACAATGGGCCTCGTGCCAAAATTAAATTTAATTGCTCACAATCTTAACAAATTCCTTGAGCTATTTTTCAGCTAAAACATCAAAATTTGGTATTGTTGTGGCGGCATCAGGCGGACCAGATTGAATTAACCAAAGGAACGGTTTGGCGCGCGGGCCGTACTTTTCCCATGTCAGCGTGAAACTATGCTTATTTAGGAAGATTCGTTCAAATTCTGCCAGAGTAGATTCTCATAAAATAGATATAGTTATAATGGAACGCAATATGGATCCATATTCACGGTTTATACTAGAGATAGAGATTTGATATATATTTGATATATCTTAATTACGTCCAACTAAAAATTATTTTTAGGTTCGGATTGTGCAAACCGGCAAAGCATTGAAGTTCCAAGCTCACTTGGTTGGGTAGCAGCTCCGATTATCATAGGAATTCTTATTATAGGATTTGTTTTATACATCGTACTGATTAGAAGGTAAGATGGATTTATATAATCATGCGACAATTTTTTAATAAAGTCACTTTATCTAAGTGACCGGCTTCAGCTGGTTGCGTTGTGGTCATTTGTGGAAAAATTTGCCCAACTAAGTGAACAGATCTGATTTGGCCTATTTTAACGGCGCTGTTGTGAGTGGCATGTACAATTGTGTATAAATTCTTCTTCTCCACTGACAAAATCAAGTTGGTTGGTAAGCTATTTGTTTTGACGGACCGATTTTATCAATTTAAACGATCATGCTAGTCGCGAGTACTTGCAAATTTACCTTGTTGATCTTACATGTTTTGAACAAACAGGTGAGTGATTATTGACTAATCTATACTTGAACCATTTTCAGGAGGCAGAAGCAGAAAAGCGAAGACATTGGATACCTGATGGGCATTGAAAATCCACATTATAATGGTTTAATGATGAAAGAAGGTGTTGAAACTGGCGCGGGAGCGTAGCAAGAAGTATTCAACCAACAAGACATCGAACTGTAAGGTGTGTTGAATCGGCTTATTACCGCAGCACGGCTTGGGACGATGACGACCATACGAAGAACATGGTCTGACGTCATAATAACTTCAGATTTGTTGTGCTCACTGCCGATCACCTCAATTTGGTAATCGATATAACGTTGGAGAGTGAGTGAGCATATAGCCATGGAGACTACGCTACGAAACTGATCTGGCCAAAATATAAATAATAAGTCATAGCAAGGCATCGGGGTTTCTGATTTAGTAGTAACTTTGTACACTTTCCCTGTGCACTCGTTTTAGTTCTGTACTTTCAAATATTATGTTATGAAAGAAATATTTCAACAATACCTCGATTGGTGTTCACTATTTTCATCCCAAAATGAACTACATTTGTTTCTTTATGGCAGAGTTTACGCTATTCCCATTGCTGAAATGTGAAATTGATTGGTGTGGTTGGAATCTTTACTTTTGATTTTAGTCTTGGCTATTTGCCTTCGAGTGAAATATTTCGCCAGATTTGATTTTTTATGATTTCATAATACACCATTGCTGTGCAATAAATAGTAATTATGCAATGCTGTTTGAGTATCTTTTATTTCACCACGTTGTCCAATAAAGTTCCTTGGGTTTGCAAAGGTTATGTTTCTGTGAGAATAGCTTCGGCCTAAGATGTTGTCCCAACGACCAGAATTGGGAAATAAGGTCTCTACTGCATTAATTAAGCTTCAGATACAAGTTATGTTTCACCAATACAACTGGAGATTTTTTCAACGCAATTCACTTATTATAGATATTGACTGGAAGCGGAGCAAATCACTTGATAATTTTTTTTTCATCCTCCAGTACTCGTTTTTAGAAAAATTCGCTCAAAGCAAGCCCAAGTGTTTTCACTCAAGAGATTCATTTCTGAGTAGATCAGTTACGGCGACCACATTATGTCGCAGGATTTTCCTTTTTACCTTCCATACGCGATCTACTACTATAAAACCATAAGTTCACAGTGTCCAATATTATAAAGTAGCATAATATATGAACTCAACACGACGTGCTAAATACAATAGCGCAACCAGACTCTTTTGATCCCAGATAAAACGTGCCTTAACACATCTTTGTGCATTTTTGCCCCGTGTAACCAATTATTACACTCAGCAATTATTACACTCAATCAAAACAGAAACAAGAGAAAAACAGGTGTGGGGATAACGGTAAAATCCTATCACAGATTAACAACAGATTATGCGTCAGTAATTGGGGGGTTGATGTAAGGCTTGGAGACGTTTAGGTTAATATGTAACCAGGGCAGAAAAACGGGAAGAGTACTTGCATCATTTGCCAGGACTAGGGGTCACCAACCTTTTCGAAGCCGAGGGCTACTTTCTGGGTACCGATTAAGCCGAGGGCTACCAGTTCAATGCACACTTTTGAAAAAGTCAATTTGCTCGATTAACCTTCAATTATTGATAATTACTGGTTTTTAGTCAGGTAGAAACACTGATAAACTTTAGGATTCTTCAGGAAATCAAACGATTATCACAACGTAGCAAATAAATTACTAGCAATGACACTTCCATTTTCAAACTGAGTGTTTTTCAAATTGATTTTAAAGTGATCACTACAATAATATCCTCGGAAACCACAGGTCCACAATGTACCATTTTTTCACAAACAAACACCCTGCATAACCTTAAGATAAAATGAACTAAATGTTGTACTATGGCGTGTAACTTGACACTGTAACTCTGAGCGGGTCTTGCAGATTTTCATCAGTAAGGCGTATTCCGTGTCTTGTGAAGTTCATGTCAAAAAATGTTGATTAACAAAGATGGCTTGAACCAAACACTGATCTCGTAACATAAGATTGCTGTTTGAATTAAAAGGCGAGCTTTTTCTGCCCTTACTGCGCTGACCAATGGATAGTGACAAGATGTGAAATGTCTCTTCGCTTAGTCATCGCTATAAACTCCCCGCAAATGAAACATACGCAAGCTGTTTTCAAGGTGGTAAAAGGAAATCCACCTCCCCATTTATCGTGAAAATGGTAGGTTTTCTTTCGTTTTCCTGCCAATTAACTTTGAAATCAATAATTGTATTATTGACATTGCTGCTCCACAAATTAACGGACACGAAAAAACGCGAGTTCGTGGAAGGTGACATCTGTGTGATGTCATAATTGGGAGAGTATTAAATGGCCCGTCACATTACTGGGGTCAAATAAAAGTTAGAATGTTCGTTACCATAATATTTAACATAGTGTTATTCCAAGTTCCCAAATAAGACAAAAGTGTGATTTATACAACGGGTTGGTGATCCCCTGCCCTGGACAATAGCGAGAATGCTCTACTAATGTAATGCAGTACCATACTCACCTGCAACTGTAAAACGAGTTGTGGCAGAAATTTGTTTGCTATGGTGAGCACAAGTCATCCAAAGTAGCCGTTGGCCCAGCAGACTGCAAAGTTTGATGTCTGCCGCTCTGATTTCGGCGGGATTGAAACAGGCGTACTGGAAAATCAATCTGGGATGCCAACCTTTGCTATACCTGCACAGTATACCCTATGTCAAAAATTTTCCTATCGTGGAGACCACTATTTGTCTTGCAGGCTGAACAGGTAATTTACTTAAATAAAACAAGGTAAATAGTGTTGATCGTCGGCTCGGCTCGTCTACTGATTTTAAATGAACTTCGATTGTAACCTGTGATGTCAAAATACACCTATGCCAGCCATTAACATCATCCAATCATCTCATGCACAAATCAACACCTCACGATTCCCAATCTTCTAAACAATAATCCACGGACAAGATCATTTCAATTTTTATTCGTAGATCACAACTTTGTTGTATAATTATCGTAGATTATCTTTGGCCAAAGATGAGATTTAGACAATTGAGCACGCTTCATTTATGTCTCATCTCTGCCCAGAACAATCCGATATTAACGCAGTTCAAAAAAACTTGATAGGGCGTTGAATAATTTGATGACGTCACATCCATTGTCTATCGTCACGATGACGTCACAAAGAAAGTACCGTTTATATATTCACACTGTTTTCTTCAACGCAATAATACTATGATGGATTTCATGATTTTCCCCCAAAAAATATCAAAAATGAGCAAAAAAATTGTGTAAAATATATAAACAAACAAGAAGAAAAGGGAAGCACAAAAAATATAAAGGAACAATGTAAAATATTATACCACGCGCAAAATATGTAAAATCGGTCAAAAATTTATATAATTATTGGAAGTGCAAACTCGCGTACCCTGTCAGAGAAATACTATGTAACAAGATTTCAAAGTGATTCCAAAATTGTTAGAAAATTTCTGTGCTGTCTTTGGACTATTTTGTTCAAATTAAATTTGCTATTAGCAAAAATGGAAGGTTTTTCGGGAAAAATGTCAAAAATCGATGATTTTGCAACAATTTTGGGAAATCAACCAATAAGGCAGTATTTATATAAGTGTGTATATTGATCAATCGTGCGGAATAGAACCAGCACATCTATGGCACAAGCTTGATATAAATAGTTTCAACTTATTCACACGTATGATTCTTCTGAATGGATAACCTTTTCTAGTCCCATGAAGGGTAGTATTTCGTTCGAGTTATTATCCCGTTGTGGAGAAACGGGTGAAATCGGGGGTTTTCGGTGACCTTTCAATGACCTCCTGTGTTCGTTTGTCCTTTCTGACGTCAAGTTAGCGTCACCGGATTTGCGCTTCGCGGACCAGGGCATGACATGGACGTTGGTTCGATTCGGATTGTGACTTGAACAACGTTCAACGCTCATATGTCGAGTTTGTCTGAAGGGCGTGGCGGATTTGTCCGACGGTGAACCTGAAGTTTGTCGAGCTGTCCGACTGTCTGTACGTCTCCTACGCATAAACACAGGACTGTCTTTTGGTGAACCACTGGGCGTTATAGATCTCGGTGTTTTTCTATTTCCAAATGCAAAAGATTCTGATAAACTGAATATTAAATTGTCTGAGACTGCTTGCGGTGATCTCCTCTGAGATAATTTATCCGCGTGGGATTGTTTTTCGTTCTTTTCTGGCTGGTGAACCTGCACCGATATTGAATCTTTTATGCGGGTAGGATATCTCGGAGGCGTTTTCATTCCAGATTCTGGTGTTGTACGAACAACTAGTCCGTTACGATTATCGTTTTCCTGTTTCTTTTTCGGAACGTCACAAGCCCGCTGAACGGAGACTACTTCGACCTTAGCAACGGCTACTGGAGAAGGAGACGAAATGTTCCTATGTCTTGAGTCGTCTGATGAATTTGAACTGTGTGAAACTGGACTAGGATTGGTAGAACTGTTCATATGATTGAAAGTGTTGATTTTCGATTTGACTGATCCAAGTCGGACCTGAAATTGAGGGGTTGAGGTAGTTTCTTTTTTCTCTTCTACTGGCGACGACGAAAGTTCTCGAATTTTCGATTCCACAGCTCCCGCCATGTGTATGATGTCTGTTTCTTTTAATTTGGGGCTAACTTGATGTAACCTGCTGATGACGTCACCATAGATGACGTCACTGCTGTTAGAATTCAAACTTCGTACAGATTCTCTGGACGATTCCCTCTTTTCGATAGGAGATGTCCTATCTTTCATTCCTTTCCAATCCGCTGAAGGTAGGCTTTTACTGAAAGTACCTTCTTCTGTGTTTCGATACATTTTAGATGAAATGTTCCTTTTACGTCCGTGTGGTTTTCTTGTTCGAGTGTCTCTCTCAAAAGTATTGTCTTCTGTTGGCTGAGAAAACGAAATATCCTTCAAGGAAGACCTCGAATTTGACTCTATACTGGATTTGGAAGCACTCGAAATGGAAGATTTTGACGTCGTGGAAGACGATGGTTTGATTGAAGCCCCTGAAATGACGTCACGAGGCTTTAAATTGCTTCTTGTTTTGATATAATGCGACTCGTAATTGTGTTTGGGGGCGTTACGACCCTCTCGTACTGAAGACGCCTTTTTTCGTCCGGAGAATCCGTTCATATCTGTAGTACCGTTACAATTTTTAGTGGTGTGTTGTCGAAAATCCGGCAGCATATTTAGATTTTCAGTTAGTTTTTGGATGGGGCTCAAACACTGTTCCGTCGGTATGTCTCCGTATTCGGGGGTTAGAGGGAAGTTTAATTCCAACTTTTTTCCACCCTGCCCCCGAACTGAATTGAATTTTCTCCTCACTGGGGCAGTTTTGGGACACTCGTCCACAAGAGAAGCAGTCCTATTCCGTGCTGGCGTGTATTCATAATTTTTACTGAATACGTCTTCGTGGCTAGAATTTAACGGTTCGTCAATAGGACTAATATTTCTGGGCTGGTCTCCTATGAAAAATATATTTTTGTCTGATGTAGCAGAAGTAGCGTCCCTTGGAGGAGGGCTTTTTGCAGGTTCAGAAATTCCTCGCAAAGACAAAGTAACGGGTCGGAATTGTTGGGGTTTATTAGACCTCACATCATTAACTGTTACGGTAACTCCACTCAAATACTGTTTCTTATTTTCATTTTCTTGTTGTTGTGACGTCATTGATTTCGAAATTGTTTTTGTGACGTCATCAGTACTCAGTTTTCGTAATTGTCTTAAATATTCTTTAGCGACATTGTCTTCCTTGACTTCACTATTTTGTCCGTCCTTGTCGTCGTTAAGTCGGACGTATGTCGGGGGTTGTTTTCGGAACGGAACATTGATTTCGTCATTGCTTTCAGTGTACTCGATACACGGCGATGCAGTAGCTTCTGGAAGTCGATAAGAATGCTTGGAACCAACTGTAAAGAGAAATTTCAAAATTTACAAAAAAAAATGTCGCGACTGGCATTTTTTGTAATGTATTGTGTCGTGGACCATTCATACTTTTGTTAACTCTAAAATTCAGCCATGAGCACCTTTTGGGATTGTGAGGGCAAAATCAAATCATACCCAATGTCTCACACTGAACATGATGAAGACTTGGAGATCGCACCCAAATATAATTAGGCTATGTGCTAATTTGACAGTGTTTTAGCCTTAAATATAGCTGCCAGTTTATATTAAAATTTTGGAATATTTTTCCATAGCCCTAAATTCAATGCCGATAACTGCAATGATTATGCCCTAGTTCTAGAAGGAACGCCATCTACAATTACATCTTAATACTGATGGCAACTCCGATAAATTACGGTTTCATTACCGTCGTTGTGGTACTTTTGTTCAAATATATATGTGCTTACCTGAGGACGCATGCAGTCGATGCCTTCTTGATAAAACTGGTTGAGATTGTCTTCTCGCAAACTCTCTGAAACGTTGAGGACTATCGTCAGGATCTTCCTCTAAAATTTCTCCATGTTTGAAGGAGTCAGAGTCAAACTCATCTCCCTCTAGAATCTCTCCGTTTGAGATTCTCAATAAATTGGGAGACCATAGTCTTTTTAGCTCTTCACTTGTAATCCGAATATTTTCCTCAAGAGTTTCAGTGAAATCATTCAAATTAGATCCAGCAGATGAGGAAGATAGTAAAAAGTGAGAGTCTTTCGGAGTTCTCCTGGATGGATTATTATAATAAGATGAAGCAAGATCCTCATCTTCTCCGCTTAGAGTAGTAAATCCAGAATCGTTGCTCATGGAGCAAGCGTCTGTACCGCGATGTTGACCTCGCCGTTTTGTTTTGTTATTTTTCTGATGAAAGTCCTCCTGGTTGAGAAGCAAATCATCCATGTCATGAGAATTCGAAGTTAGAGAATCTTCATTCAGAACTCTGTCTAAGCTATCTTGGGAAAGACTGAGGAGACGCTGTTAATAAAAAATAAAATTTAATACTGATGTAACTTATCTTTAAACAGATATCTAACACGTGAAATCCTATATATTATATGCCAAGTTCAGCATGAGTGTATATAACCTATTCTTACCAGTTAAGTATAAACAGTCTATATGAAATATAATGCAAATACCCGTTCATAGGCTTCACTGTACGGGAATGTCTCAAGAAGACAGGTGTGAGACCCTATATTTTTGAGGAGCTGAACAAATGATAACATGAACATACAAATAAAATATACGGTACTAACCGCCGCTTCAGCCTTTGATCCAGGTTTTCGTCTCTGAAGTTGTCTTCTGATGACACGTGACCTACTAAAATGATTGACGTCACTCTCGTCCTCTTCGTTATCTACTTTTTCTTCTTCGTTTCCGCGCGAGGGCGCTATATCCGACCCCGGAGTAAGGCATTCGTCAATGGTACTGGAGTATTTTTCAATGTCTCCTAAAATATATGATATTGCATTAGGATCTTGTTCAAACTCTATTTTAATTTCTAGAGTTATTTCAATGTGGAATTTATTGCCAATTTACCTTCATATTCGTCGTCTTCTTCTCCTTCCGATTTCAATTCAATTTCTGGCGGCCAGTCTAAATCTGTGGGTACGATTCCATCGAATACTTCGCTACATCGGTCCGTCAAGAACATAAGTATTTCGGTCACCTGTATCGCAATAAGAGAATGAAATACTAAACGATACATCTCTGATGACAACTTTGATGACAACACATACGGTAACTAAGAGAGGTAAACCGCTAAATTAAGGAGAAATTAAATAAACTCTTTTTTCTGTAAAATGGGTACTTATGCTAAAAACCATAATTTTACTCAATTTCTTATTTATTTAGGTTTTTCAATGCGAGTAAAATGTGGTACATACCTTCATGGGTGCTTCTGTCATGACCGCTGGGCCAGGCGGCCATAGTAAACTCGGTGCTATACATATTGCTAAGTTATATGACGTCATATTATTACGTTTCGCGCGTGACGCAATACGATTCAAGATGATTGAAAGACGGCGAATGAGAACTCGATTACACTGATCCAAACTTCTAAGTAACCTGAAAAATATTAATTTGGATGAGAATACACCTATTTGTGTAGTAGTCGGAGTCTGCACCGTCCGGGTTTGAATTCTCAGTCATCCTAAAATCGGGCATCTGGATGGAAAGTTATTTCTTACACGTGACAAGATTCGTCCATACCAGAGTTTTCATGGGCGAAATTTCTGTTTCTAAATTGCTTTCAATCCGGAGTCGGCAGTCAAGTAATTCCGACCGGATTCGAACATTGGTAGAATATAAATGGAAATTTTTTGGGCTACATATCCGGATATATAACAAGAGATACTAATCACAATATGAATATCGATAATGTTGGTAGGGGCGCCATTACAAAGTATAGAACGTGACTGCCAATCCTAAGACTTCAAAGGAAAACGTGGCGTGGCACAACGCCAAGCCACAAAAAGGGCAACTCATACCTCCTCAACGACCCCAATTTCGCTTCGTCGTCTGCTTCTTCGATAGCGTTTGTCCAATCTGTGTAGAGAGTATTGTCCAGGACGGAGTTCGGAATGTTGCGTAAAAAATCTTTAACAAGGGCGGCGATGACGTATATACTTGCGTCACTAATGGTGACGTCAGCTTCTTCATCTAATTTGTGTTTCAATTGTCGGGTTGTTTTTGCATTAGCCGATTTTCGAAATATGCCGGTGGTGTAAGGTGCTTTACGATAAAGAATATCAAGCATATCCTGCGAATAAAAACAGTATATAAATGTATAAAAGAAATATATCACTACAATATCTTTAGGGGGTAAAATATGGTAAAATTAAGCGACTTTGAATTTGTAATGATTGTCTGTTTGCTATGTTCTGGTACTCAATGCCCCTGGAATGCCTTGCAAATCCCGAAATTTTCAAATATAAATAGTCACTTGGATGAAAAAGTTTATTACCGCTATCGGAGTAGGCAGTTCTCCGTTGGTGCAGACTTGTCCAAGTGGCAAAGAAAAAAGTTTTGGTGAGGCAGGTGGTGACGTAGATGGCGGAGATGACGAAAAGTAGGTAGTGACGTCACTCCCAGCAGAGTTACCACTCAAAGAAGCGTGACCGGAGTCGGAGCTCTCGTTTCGCTGGCCGTTTCGTTTACGTGTCCAGTTTAAAAATCCAGTTTTTGCCTTGAGTCGCACCAGTCGTCTTTGCGTCATGTCTAAAATAGTATCAATAAATCGTTACTACAAAATTTCCATGGAATTTACCAAGTTTAGTTGAAAGTATCACAATGATCGTTTGGGACACTCGGATATACAAAGCCAATATCATTTCATTCTACTCCAAATGAAATTTAAATACTAATTTGCATAGAGACAATCTAATAATTCACATACCTATATTATTAAATTTATTCGAAGGCATTCGCTTGCTTCGTAAAATAAACTGGCATCTGTTTCTGACATCTTGTTGCATTTCGTTTTCGTATCTCGCCACTGACGTAATTTCCGTTTCCGGTAAAATTCCGTTAGCGGATATGAGGTCACGAATCAGACTGAGTTGAATGGCGTGTGGAAGCTCGTGACCTGCAAAGTAAAAAATTGCATTGTGTGTCATATTCTTGCACTATGATGTCATATAATTCGCATTAGAACATCATATTGTTAGGCCACGATATCTTGTCTTTCTATTATGACGTAAGAGTTTGCAAATTGCTACATCTTATATTTGTTTTATGACATCATAATTCTGAGTTATATATATCTTATGCTTGTCATATTTTGTAAATTTATGCATCGTACATTTGGGTATGACGTCATAGTATGTAATTTTTTCACAAAGTCCTTCATATCAAGATCATTGCCGACCTTTTCGTGTAGTCTATCAATACATGGAAATGTTTTTTTATACAATATATTCCAAAAACCGCAAGTTTCGCTACAAAATATGACTGGTAAAAATTTTGGTTAAAATAGAGCTATTTTTAGGCTCTGAGAAAAAAATTGCAAAAAATATTTGTGGTACGATTTGCGGCATACCTCTCTTCGGTAGAGGGGATACGAAAAACAATCAATGACCCGTGACGGTAGTTTACCTATTGTTTAGAAATGTGTGATTAAAAAGTCAAAATTTAATTTTTTACACGTCTATGGTGGCCCATCGTTGTCACGTGTAAAATTTAAAAAAAAAATGAAAAAATAAAATGAAAAAGCGAAAATAAAAAAATAGTTGTGAAAAAACATGAAAATAATTGAAAAAAAAAATAAAAAAAAATTTAAATTAAAAAAAAAATTGAAAAATAAAACAAACAAAAAAATTAAAAAAAATTAAAATTAAAAAAAAAAAAAAAAAAAAAAAAATTTGAAAAAAAATTGGATAAAAAGAAAATAAAAAGGTTGACAACGATGGTCCGCCTCGTGGCCCATCGTTGTCACGCGTTTTTATTTTTAGAAAATTTGATGCTGCTTGGGACCAACGTTGTCAGACTTAATCCTACACGCACAAATGTGTTTCCTGGGTTTCTAACTCACTACTGATTTTCATGACCAATATCCAATAAATTCAACATAAAAATGTTCTACAAATTCTCCATGCTACAAGTTCAACCACAAGCAATATATTTATAATAAGGATAAGAGAATATAGAATTGGATACGAAAATTTGTTTTTACGTGTAGAAGGTAATTTAATTGGAAAATGCTGCTTAACTGCTCAGACACTCGTGCGATGCCGGTACGGTATCGTCTGACCGTACCGGTACCCATGCAATCACTCGTGAAAGAATGAGAGATGATGAGTGATTGTATGGCTACCGGTACGGTCAGACGCAAAGCGACTATAACCGACTACCGGTATTTGGTAAGACGGTACGGTACCGGCATCGCGAGTGTCAAGACAACTGAGTAGTTAAGCAGCATTCTCCAATTAAATTACCTTATACACGTAAAAACAAATTTTCCGAATTTTCGTATTCAATTCTATATTCTCTTATCATTATTATAAATATATTACTTCTTGTTGAACTTGTAGCATGGAGAATTTATAGAACATTTTCATATTGAATATTGCTCAAGAAAATCAGTAGTGAGTTTGAAACCCAGGGAACACATTTGTGCGCGTAGGATTATGCCTGACAACGTTGGTCCCAAGCAGAAGCAAATTTTCTAAAAATAAAAACGCGTGACAACGATGGGCCACGAGGCGGACCATCGTTGTCAACCTTTTTATTTTCTTTTTATTCAATTTTTTTTTTTAATTTTTTTTTTTAATTTTTTTTTTTTAATTTTTTTTTTTTTCGTTTTTATTTATTTATTTTTTTTTAATTTTGATTTTTTTTTTCATTTTTTTTTTAATTATTTTTATGTTTTTTTACAAAAAAATTTTTATTATCGGTTTTTATTTTATTTTTTAATTTTATTTTCAATTTTACGCGTGACAACGATGGGCCACCATACACGTCCGAACCATGGGAAGAAATTTTCTTAAACTATCATCTGTATAACACAAAACTTCTTCAATTTTTATGTTAAGCTACAAAAATTGGAATCTTTCTGGATTAGCTTATTCTACCTAAATCTATTTCACAGTGGACGAGATGGTAGGTATAAGAAATTGGAATCAAAATACAGTACACATAACTTACCAATCAATGGATAGGCCGTCCCTTCCTTTCGTGGCGTAACCCACAGCTGATAGTCATCTTCGTTCTAGACAAAAAAGTAACGAGTTATGACGTCATCAAAAAGCCATGACATATAAGAAATGAACATTTGTAATTTTTTAATAATTTTAAAATAAACTTGTTTTTCGAGAAAAGCAAATAACGGATGCTGATAATTAAACAAATAAATTTATTTTCGGGTATTATTATTTTATTACCTGATGATGTAATCACTAATCAAAACTGTCTGAAAACACATTTTATAACCTATTTAACATAAATCATTCATCAAAAAGCGTTTTTTTTTTAATATTGCGATTTTAATTTGTGGCAAAACCATGATAACAATTTACACTTAATTAGGGCAATTACTTAAAATCAAAGCTTCACGTATAATTAATTATATTTACAATTAGAATACAATTGATCATAAATGACATTAAAGTTAACTCATGGTTAAAGTTGGCCGATTGTGATTAAATGAAATAAGGCGGTACCTCAATATTGAATTCCTTTATCGCTAACTGTGCTACGTCTTTTGCAGTTTGTTTGTGGGAGACAGTCACCATTCGTACCTGAATGTAGAAAGAAGTATTTCTCAAATTACTTTTTCACGACTTGTTTCTTTCCCCGTACTGCGAACAAGGCTATTTACAAGCAGATATATAAGGATATACTATTTTTGGACTGGCCAGAATCTTTCTGATTCGGCATTGTCCATCAAATTTATTACACCATTGGATGAGGGCATGTTTCGAGCTAATGTTCGAAGATAAAAATGCATAATCAGGTATTGCTTGTTAAATACTGATAATATTTATGACGCCATTTTGTGTCCAATACTACTCAAATATCTCGTTGAAATTGAAGAGAGCGATAGCATATCAGATTATAATCCGTATATGGCTCATTGCATAGATCATATTTTCACCTTTCCGGATATCGTGGTGATTAGTATATTTGACGATTACGGGTCATATAACTACTGAAACGGTATATTTTTCGATTTTGATATTGAGAAAGGATTTCGGGCTACGAAGCTAGCTCCGATCGTACGGAATGGGTTTCTGAATGGGTAACAAATCGAGGCTGAAGTTCACGAGGTTGCCTCTACATGATGATCCATCAACGATGATAAGAAGAAAGACCCCAATTATATGATAAAGCTGGTTTCATGGTGAAAAAAACATAGATCTTATTTGGCGAACGATTCTTCTATAGAAAATCTTCTAATACTATTAAAAAGTACGTATATAATACTGTTATTTTTAACAATTTCCTTTATCGTAGATATCACAAGTGTAATTTATAACGTCGATTTAAGCTGGCAATTTGACTGCGGAAGTGCTCAGATACAAATCTATACAGGATAGCTTAAGGCAATGTATTCTATCCTAAAATGTACAATATCAAAACAAAGTGTAAAATCACTATATATTTTACTGGCATTTCATTAAGAGGAATTTTGTTGAAAGAGATATAAAGACACAATATGGTGAGTTATCTGCCCGTAGGTTATTAATTGATTCTATTTTATCGGGTCGTTTGTGATTTACCTCAACTTTTAAAAAGTTTTCTACTTTTTTCAACTACCAAAAGGTATGCAAAATTTATTGAAAAGCCCAAACGCACAGAAAGTTTAAATTAGTTTCCAGACTTCCTGGAAAAACGGGCAAATAGGCACTTTCGTGGCGGTGCTGGAATGCGAAAAACGGCGGTTTGGCACTGACACGTCAACGAATTGAAGGTAATACGCAGAAGATATGAAATATATACTTTTTGAGGGAACTTTGACCTCAGGCTATATCGTGCAAAATACACAATATGGTTTTAAAATTTCACGCAGAAAACTCCTCACCGAAAAAAAAGCAAAGATATAATAAAAAGCCTCATTTCTAACACTGTCATTTGTTCTGTCTAAGTGCAGACAGACAGACTGGATGGACGACGACAAAAACATGTCTGGTAGTACAAACATTGGGATACATATAACAAAGGTTTAGTATAGATGTCAGTTTTTCTGTGGGAGTGGAAAGTCGATAAGAGGGTATATTTATACAACGAATCCCCGCCATTGACTTACGTGAGCTGTGTTTGACGAATCTCTGTTTATCACTTTTACATCTGTTGTTTTAGGCGACTCTTTCTCTTTTTCTTCGCGAATTTTACTGAAAAATGAATAACATTATCATCTTCAATATTACAATCAATATTATTACGTCATCAAATGAAGTCATAAATATTGGACCCTCAGACACCAGAACGGACATTTGATAAATAATATAAAAACAACTATGTATCGTATGGAAAGAAAATTTCAACCCAATATGAGAAACATTTCTTAGATATGATTACGTCATCATTGATGATGACGTCAGAAAAACTTATTTTTTGAAATAATGTTTAAATTCGCCCATAATTGACGGAGAATACAATTGTTGTTTGTAAGGCATATGTATAGTAAAAAGTAGAAGTAGATAAGAGACGTACAAGTGGCGCACCCCACAGCGGAAACGGAACCCAGGTTGTAGTAATAGTACCCAGTCACACGGCGCGTGGGTCATTGTAACCCAAGCCCCACGTAACAGTGTAGTAGGGATACAAATTCACCCAGGATCTTAGAGCACTGTGAAGATATCCCAAACCTATCACTAAAAAGACAATAGACAAGAGTTTCTTACGAAAACACCTGTCGCGATGATAGACGTTTTTAAAAAAGTTATTCAAGTACCAGGTACGGGGTATAGCTACGTTACACCATTATGGAACATTCAACTATGGCCTATCCTTGATTATCTATGGTTTCTACTTACTTTAGAAGGGCGTTCAGCCATAGTTCTTTCGATTCAGGCGAGCTAAAATAAACAAAATAGACAATCTTTGCTTTCTTGGTTTTCATGATTAATACATAAAATCACAATATTTTTATATGGACGATTAATCAAAAGGTGGCATCGGATTGAAATTCTGTGACACTAAGACGTGACGCATTCCTCATGGCACAAGTGACATGAAAATTAATCAACGGTTATTATTAGGTAGTTGGCACTGAAATCATCAGTGTTAGTAAAGTTGGAGGTCAGAATGCAGTATTCTCTATATGTGTTTATTACGTCATACGCGATGTCACGTGACACAACAAATCTTCATAAGTAAAAAGGCAATAAAGACAATACCTGAATGTGGCGACAAAGTTTTCTGTGGGCCATCCTATTACAAATGATTTTTCTGGTGATTTGGCTACTTCGGTTACGTCATCAATACATGACGCAATCCATAGCTCACATACGCGGATGCGATATTTCAATTTGAAGTTGTTTCCAGATCTGCAAAGAAGAAGTGATAAAATAATAGAATAAGCAGAGGAACGATAAAATATTGCAATATTAACCATTTTCACTTAAAGTGTTCCATACAGTTTCTTTATTGTGTGTAGTTAGAATAGGAATGGATATATAGCCCAATCTCCAATTAAATGGCCTCTTCCTCTTGGGTTATTGGTTGGAATAGGTTTTCATTTGGCTATCGTACATTAAGTCAAAATTGGATATATCTGTTCTATTCTATTGTAGCAAATTTTCGAAGAGTTCAAATTATATTTCATCCAAACTGTTCAAATTTTACTTTTATCCAGCAGTCCACGAAGCGTAATTCTCCAATAATTTCATCCGGTAATTATGAAAGATTCTATTGCTAAAGGAGGTCCAAAAATGGCTATCCAAACATACAACACACGGGAGCAAAGGTTCTATATCACCAAAATTATGGGAAAAGTCGGAAAAGTCAGTCTTGCAACCGTTTCTTCTATCATTAACCACCCATTCATCACATAATTTGCTCGCACCGCCAACATCGCGGGCTACGCATCGCCAAACTTGCACTTTTTTGCCAATGTTGACAATGGAATTACTTGGATAAATATTATAGGCCAGATAAAACCAAAAGGTCACCAATAACTATTTAAATTTTTCATTGTTTATAAAACAACAATTCTTCTAAAATACCAATTCTGAGTTTTTAAGTCTGAAGAAGTAACGTGACAAACCTTGACTGTAAATACCCAGTACGGTGGGGTTAGATCAACCATCAGGTAGGTGGTAGTGGCCCCCAAATACATAAATTTAATTTGCTATTCAAATTTTCAAAACTTCAAGACTTCGTTTGTTACATTTTCGTGAAAACTTTGCAGCATAGGGGATCTATTTCAATTTTTCCAACCAAAATCAATCGAAAAAATCTGTAATTCAAGGCAATTAACATCGAAGACAATTAAATTCTAGATGACGGCAAAAAAAATTCCCTATATTATGACGTCATAAGCAATGTATAAATAAATTTAAGATAAGATACTCACTTAGCTTTAGCAATTAGTAATAAATCCGTAAACAGAAACATGTATCTATCTTGTGTTTGCATTCCAGTGGTCAATTGAACTTTTCCTTCCATGACGTACTTCCGCTTCGATAGGTTAAGGGTCGCGTCATGGCTACCGAACTTCAGGCTCAATCGCTGACTGTTAACATTGGGAGAGTAGGGCGATGTGGGCAGTTCATCCCTGAAAAACGTTAGATATTTAAACTCCTTCATACAGATGTATAATTGAATGAGTATCATTTTAATATTAAACGAAAAGAGCAAAGTAATATACCTTGCATTATATAATGAAGCTGGTAGTTTGTTTGATCGCCCTAAGACTCCACGGATTACAATACTAGGTGCCGATTGCCGTCGCTGTGCCATCTTTTTGAATTTTGCCTGAAAATAATACAATTTATCGAAAATAATTACGAGCAATTTGGAAACATTTTTCAAAAAATTCAAGGAGGCACATTGTGATGAAAAAGGTAATAGAGTAGCACCGCAAGTACCAGATATTGTTTTCGGGGAGGACATGTGATTCGATTCAACTCTGATTTCCAACTTTTCTCAATTGCAATAGCTTTGTGAGTTTGTATTCCTGGCTTACAAATTATTGTTTGGTCACGCTTGCTTGAAACGATATGAAGCGGGGAACATATTGTTAATAATATTTCTACATGATCCGTTTAAGACTTTGGGTCTTAAATATATAATAAGCAGATACTGGGTGTATATGACCCAATAACACAAAGATGAAAATGACATCATTAAAACCATAATGTATGACATATTACGAAACGCCTCAAAATAGTTTGAGTTTGAGATATTTAGAGAAATACAAGTCCAATCGAGGGTCATATTTATCCAATAATCCCAGGTTAGTCAGCATTATAGAAATACAACACTTTTTCGGATACATCATAAATAACACTATCTATTTTAGGACGTGTTACTTGAAAATAACATACTTGTATATTGACCCTCTGAAATTTAGTAGAGCGTATTTGTCACCAAAAAGATGTGCGAAGCACGTAGAAGGTTAAAAAAAAGGTGGTTGAGCCTGAAACCGATAAACTAATTTGGAATGTGTCATTACTGTATTGACATACACATTCCTTAGCTTACCTAGAATTAGACCGTTAAGGTGTCGAATGTAACAGATGGCCAAATGAGTGACTTATCAGCCGGGCCAACATTAGGTTTACGAATGAGTTTGAATTAAACCAGGCGGACGCAAACACATATGTTACATCGCCACAAACTGCCAAATACAACTCAAGTAATGCCGTTAAATATTAGCAAATTTCATTGAAAAAATATAACTTGTAAAAAATGAAATCTTAAGACATAAAATTTTTCGAATACCATTAATTGTTTAAAATAGATTTCCCTATATTGTCAGTCTGAAATTTGATTGAGATGTGGCTAAATAGCCGCATTTCCACTCTACCGCCGATATCTTAGATGCGGATGCGGATAATCATTGAAGAGAATGCTAAAGCTACACGCAATGACAACCTTTCAATCATTTTTGTTTGTCGTATGATTTGCATGTTGCAAAAGTAGTTTCTCTACACAAACATATACCGACCTATACGATCTTCACCGATATAAATTTAGACGCAGCTGCTGCCGTCACCGCTGTAAGATTGTGGTTCCAATATACAACAACATGAATAACAAGACTGCCTACGACAGTCCCTTAGCAGCAGTGCTTTCGTTCCCTCGAGTTGATGACGTAACATTGATAGAGTCCTTTATATCGACGTCATAATATTTCCCAAATCGGTATAATAGTACCACTCTCTTACATAGAATTAGCAATTATACTACTTCCACTTACAAGCCTAACCTGCCAGGATAGTATAGTATACATATGTTTAATAAAAAATGAGAGGCAATACATGAATGAAAAAAATACCCAGTAAGCAATAAATTAGATATTGCGAAATTTCCGGGTCGTTTTTATTGCAATATTAAGATTTGTGACGTCATATTAATTATGAAGCACAGTGGTGAATATATCACCATATGTTTTTAGAACCAGCTTTACATTATTGGCAATCAATAGTGCAAACTCCAGTCAAAACTAGGAAATACAACAATGACGTCACACAATTATGACAATTACTACAATAAGTGTCAAAAAGGAAAGCCAAACAATTCCGATTCCTGAAACAAACCTAACGCTTACTAAATACTTGAACTTACTTTTCAAGGCTCAGTTTGAAATCTAGAATACGAGAAAGAGAGGCGAAATATCTCAAGAATAACAATTGATTACGAAAACAGAACATAGAAATTGTGTCACTGCCTAAAAATTTTGTTATTAAATTTGAAAGCAATTTTAAAAAAAATAAAGCAATTATGCCTAATTTAATTTATTGCGATCCAAGTGCAAATACCGCCTTTAATTGGGTCTGTCTTAACCACGAAATCTTCAGTATCGCTGTGATGTCATCTACGATGAAGCTGTCCAAACATACCAATTTATGGGACCTCCTGAAGTATGCGCACCAAGATGGCGCACAACCTGAACTCGGGTTGTGTACCAGGTTAAGATTCAGGTTGTGCGACATCTTGATGCGCATACTTCAGGAGTACCAATTTATGCTATACAAACTTACTATACTAAGCTTCCACTTCCTTTTGAACAACTAACAACTGTATTTATCCCAATACACAAATATCTAATACTAATACACCATAAATCTTTAATCTTATTACTGAAGGAAGACTGATTCTCTTTGTAAGTTGCCGCCTAATTGTATCAGACGAAACCGCCAATGGTAATAATAGAAATCAATAGGAGTTCAACAAAAACATTTCAAATAATGGTAACAATGGAGAGAATGCTAAACTATAATAAACCGCTTCAACTATTCACCATCTGTGTGTGTTTGAATTGATTTACTAGGTCCGTAACCTCTGGTATAATTTGACACAAATTTCGCTATTTTGAAAGAGCGGAGAGTTTCAAGAGATACGAAATACTTATAAGCTACGGATATTTTCAATTAAACCCAAATTCGAAAAATCTATCTCGAACTCTATCTAAAATTTAAATTACGAATTAGCAAACGGCAGAGCATTTACTTTTTCAATATCAAAATCGATTAACAATTCTGGTCCGATAAATGTCCATTCTTTATTATTTTATTCTGCTCAGGTTACGTGAGTTTGAGTTGGAGAGGAATATTACGATATTACAGGTCGTGCATAAAGGTATCTACTTGACTTTTGTCATTCTTCGGGGTACGCATAATGGCTTTGTTTTATTTAATGTCAAGTCGGTATATTTGTCTCACGCAAATACAAAACTCAAACAATTAGGTTTACTACAGTGTGTGTCATAATGTCTTTTGTTTGTCAAAATCAATTAGGCGAAGTCAAATTAATCAATTAACAAAACTACTCAAGTGTTACAACTGGCAGCTTTCAAACGATCGTGCAAAGTTTCTTCGAAATTATCATAGAAACATAATAATTGCATGGACAACCGTAGCACTGGTGGTAGCACCTCACGAGAAGGTGACTGATTATCTAACCATATTATTCTCGTTTACATTTGTCCTAAATAAGCGATAACGAAAATTTTTCGTCCTGATCTTGCCTTCTGATATTCTTTATTAACCAGTTAATTCTCTAAACAACGTATTGCTCAGATTCCCGGTGCAAAATGATTTCTCTATATACATTGACGGACAATGGACAAATTGTCAAATGCGGTGTCTCAAAAAATGTCGCGCACCCTTATACATTTTGCACCACTATATACACTAACATAGTTTGATTTTATTCAAAATCGCTATAGAAGAAATTGGACAATCTACCTTTCCTATCGCCATTAAACTAATCAATATTCCAGCGTAGCCATATTCTCAAAAGCCTCCATTATCAATTATGCTGCACAAGTTGTAATTAGGCTCTCTTGAGAGCAATGAAATAATCAAATCCAGAGAAAATTATAAGTTATGCATAGGCTATATATGCCTCGGAGAAATTGCCCTGTTACGTATTCTACGTATACGTAGATATATTTTTTAACTTCTAAACGTATTTAAGGCGAAGTCACTAATTATAGGATAAAATAGCAGTTCAGGAAACAGATAGTTAAAATGTTCGTTCTATGACCAATAACAGAGACTGCCCATGTTCGATAATGATAGTATTATTATCAAAATACCGTATAATACAAACGATCAAATTGCCGTAAGGGTTAAGGTACCGGTACCAATCCTACTTACTAATACTGACAACATCGCTCCAGATTCTCGAAATATACCATTATATAAATAGTTTTTTAATTTCGAATAAAAAATGCAATATCATAAATATATACTAACGAAAATGTATATAATACTAGAATGCGCCGCACACTGTGCAAGGTAGTCGCCAGGTGGGGAAAATAGTTTTTCGCGAGGATTCTTACGAAGTATTTATAGGGAATGTAATGGAACACTAGATTAAATATACAAGTAGCAAAAAATTTCCTCCCAATTGTATAGTTCATAATTTCCGATTGACATCCGGAAAATATAATTTAATTACGAAATTCCTGCCATAACACGGATATTAACTGTTAAACATGGCTTCGAAAATATGTAATATATAACATAACGATATGAATTTAATAAATAAATGTAATATATATATATATATATATATATATATATATATATATAATGAAGAAAATATTACGATACGTTATTTGAAAATATCACTTTTTTCTTATTAATTTCGTAAAAGTAATAAATTACAAATAAAAAAATATTTTAACTCGTATACCGACTTTAGTACAGCCCTATACAAAACAAGCTAAGCCATATATAGGCAAAGTAATTAAATACCAATATTAACGCTAGGCTCTTCTGCTTATGCTACAACTGCGATACCTATGCATTCCGAGCAAAAGCTGACATTTAAAAATCGTCTTAGGAACCTCGGTAGCTTAATCTCTACGCATCGCCTCCGCGAACGCAGGTCGGATAATTGCATTGTACTGGCGACCTTTTCGCCGCCGAAGCGCAGATCCGCGGGCAAAAATCGCCCATGCGTGAACGCGAAATACATGCGACAATTCTCGATGGAATGTCGTAAAATAGCTTAAGTCAGTTATTAGATTATTGTATGTCAGGTATGCGCCAGGAATAAATTGTCAATGTCACAAAAATTACACACCGCCCATGCTTGACCTATCTTAATTATAGTATTAATTGATTATCTCAACACTGAAAACAAAAGATGGTTTATTACTAACATTTTATTACTAACGAGAGCAATTTATTGCCGCTGATAATGTTGGCTAAAACGTTTAGGGCTCTAGGCAAGTACATAGGCATTTTTAACTAAATATAGCCCAGCATAGTGAAGAAAACCAAATTTAAAGACAATAT